ATATATATATATATATATATATATATATATATATATATATATATATATATATATATATATGTATATATATATATATATATATATATGTATATGTATATATATGTATATGTATATATATATATGTATATATATATATATGTATGTATATATATATGTATGTATATATATGTATGTATATATATATGTATGTATATATATATATGTATGTATATATATATATGTATGTATATATATATATGTATATATATATATATGTATATATATATATGTATATATATATATATATGTATATATATATATATGTATATATATGTATATATATATATATATGTATATATATATATATGTATATATATATATTAGAAATACAGACAAAATAGGAGTGGAAGAAAAAGAAATAGCACTAAAATTCTACTCCTTGAAATCGTTTTATAATTCTAATTTTTATTAATTTTGATTATTTATTGATCATAATTCATGGAATCTTTCATCTCAATCAATCAATCGACATCTATCCGTATAAGCCCAATCTATCACGTCTCATTTGAGTGACTAGTCGAAAAGATCAAATATACAAGGATAATTCGATGATTCTGATCGCACGTTATTTGGGTGACTATTAAAAAAGATAAAATATGCAAGGATAATTAGTTGATTATGACTGATATGGATCACATAATTTACGTGGTCCAATAGATTCGATCAAATGATACGATAATTTTGTTTGTACGATGACCTTGTCTTCATCATAGATTACGATTTGTAGCTCGTGAATTAGGGTTTGATGCAATTGCACATCAACTTGATACCTACAATAAAAGATCGAGTATTTCCTACAGCTCTACCCTCTTATAAACATCAGTGTGTTCATTATATATGTGCATACTCATTTATCATTAGGAATCAAATCAATCTCTCATCTTTTCCTTCCAATTTGGCAAAATAGAATGCGACATGGCTCGAGTTCATCGAACACGACTGCATCGAGATGCGTGCACCGCATCAATCTGACATGGTTTCGGGCCGCCCGGTCATCGCCGCCGTCCGCTTTACATCACGCGGTCCGGATCTGACGCCTGTCGCAGCTGACGCCACTTCCGAGTTAGGGGCCGGGACCCACCGGTGTGAGCCACAAGCAAGCTGGGGACCCACTAGATCCGAGGGTGGTCATCATTTCGGGTGGGTACAACCACCGTGGCACGGTTGGTACTGTCGAGGGGGCTATCGGTAATTATGGGACGTGTGGACATTTACTGCGAGGGAAAGGGCGGCATGAATGGACGGGTGCAACTCTTCGACATCACATCACATCACATCATTTCATATGGGTGGACGAGAGATCTGTGTGAGTTGACATCAACATAAATTAGCAGATCAAGTAATCTCAGAATGACGAACATTTATATCCAAATTTAGGCGAACTTTACATCTTAAAAAAGGATGGTTTAGTACATACCATTCTCCTTTAATATAATAACTTTGTAAAAAATCAAATATTTTATTACTCAAAATTGATGGGATGATATTGAAAAGTTAATTTGGCCCCACATCAAGAAGAGTTGAATGGTGTTGAAATTTGGCATTTGATCACATCAGATTCATTAGTGTTTCAACAAATTGGGTGAGAGAGAGAACATCTCATGTCTCCTCATGGTAGCTAATCTTTATAGAGAAGTAGAGGTCAAGCATCAGCACCAACTAAAGGTTGTGTTCTTTGCAGGCAAACTGAAGCTTGGTAGCTTCTTGCAGTGGCAGTATTTGCCAAGAAGTTGCAGTAAACCAGTGTGATATATAGGAATCACAGTGCAAGTGGCAACCATGCAACTCAAGGTCTCATTCCTTCCAACAACCAAGAAGAAAAATAAGATGCAGAGAGTACAAGAAGCCCATGAGTTCTAACTCTTTCCATGTCCTGCTTGTCTCCCAACTAAGAGAAGCATTACACTTTCAGTGCCTTGTTAATGTCTTTACATCTGCAAATATATTCCTACCATGATCTCCTTTACTCCCTTTTGTACTGGCCTTCTCTTGCCCTCATGGCAACCCCCACCACAGCTCAAGCCTCTATTTTTATTGCCATGACACATACTGGCACTGCAACCCTTCTCTCTCTCTCTGCATGAATGTAGAGGACCCTAAAGCTGGAGATGGACATTTGGAAACCATGGCCTTGTCCTTTGCTCTTCATTTATGGGAAAAGGTACAGTTCCACATAGATTCACTGATAAATGTTACATCCTTAATCTCTTGTTTCATGCTACTCCCTCACCCACATAAAATGTTGATATATATATACACCTATGCTTTTTGCAGTTATATGGATTGAGTTGGAGTTGATGTCAGGCCCATGCTTTCCCCCCATCCCCACCCTCACTCTTTTGAGAAGATTCCAAGCATCAAAACCTTCTCCCTGTTCTTTTCTCTTCAGTGGCTTTGGCTGCAGCGAGCAGCCATTAATAGGAGACTGCTACTTAGCTTCAAACCAGCAACATATTTATGGAGGCCAAAAAGTCATACATGCTCCCATAGAGAGCAGCCAAAACCAGGCAAGGAAGTGTTTACAAGGGGCAGCCACCAACCCCCGCCAAAATGACCTTCCCATCTATTTCTAGAAGATGGACTCACATTCCAAAACTATTTCTCTCTGTCTCACTCTCATTACTTCCTTTAGCAAAACTGATTCAGTGCCTCAGTGCAGAAAGACATGACAAAAGTCCTGGTGACCCAAAGACCCAAACTCATGAGGCCACAAACTACAATGTAAGACTGGAATCCAACTTAGCAGCAATTTATACTCAGGTGAGAGAACTGGCTGGAGAGAGCAGACCCTTTTGGCCCCTTGGATTCAGCATCCCTACCCTTGCTCTTGGTGGAGGCATGCCTTCCCTTGAGCTTGGCAATGTCCTGGATGGAGCTGCTGGTGTAGGGAATGGTTGAAGCCTTCTGACAGCAGGAGAGCCACTTGGCCTGCATGTAGCTGGATCTCCTCCATGGGGGGATGTGGAGCCCCCTCTCTCTCAGGGACTGCTGTGCAGCTGAGCACAGCAGGGAGACAACCTTCTTAAGCTTCTCTTCCTTGCCAACAAAGATAGGAGGCAGAATGCTGGAGAGCTGAGTGTAGGCTAAGGTGGGCCTGGCAAGCTCAAACTGGGACCTGAAGTCTATGTCTATTATTATCCTTGTTGAGACACCATTCCCATCCACCATTACTATATCTATGAATTCGTAATCACCTGCAGTAAGAAGAAGATGACTAGTTAAAGTTTGCTTTGGCTGCACTGATTCAGAGCACAATGCAAACTGCTTCTCTCTACAATCCACGAAATATTAAGAAAGACAATGGATTAAGGCCCTATAATATGGATACAAACGCAAGAACGAGGACCTTCCGCCTCAGCAGAACATAAGTGAGAAGCATCACCTCCAGGACACTCCATGGTTGCAACCCAAGAAGACCTACAGAGTGAAGCATCATAGCCATCCATTCTTAGTCTCATCATTAGCCTCTTATTCACTTTGCTCCTCTTCCTTTCATCCCCTGCATCCCTAACATGCTTCAGGGCCTTCTCAAAGACCTCCATTTCAGCATGCGTGTTGTCCCCAAGAATTCCCTGTCACCAACAGGATCACCACGAGAAGAGA